CCAGGTCTCCAGGTAAGAGGCCAGGCTAGCTGCCACCTTAATTCTTGTCTCGTGAGACTATGAACAGAATATCCACCTGAACTTGCCTGGACTTCTGATCTCTACAGAACAGTGATACAATTAACTGTGCCCTTTTAAAGATTTATTTATTTGGGCATCACAGGTAGTACCACAACACCGGCTCCAAACAGTGGTATTTTAAGTCTCTCAGTTTGTGATAATTTCTTACACAACAACAGAAAATTAATAGATAGGGAAACTCATTTAACTTCTAGACAGCTGAAAAGCAGAGATAATAATAGAAATCATAAATGGCTATAATGAGGGATACTGAGATTATGCATGCAATATGCCTAGCACAGTATTTAGCATGGAGTGAGAATTGAAGATGCAATTACTATGCCTTTAAATATTTTATGAAAATAGAGAGATTTCTAAGTCAAACTTCCCATTATTCTCTGCAAAATTGTTATTACTTATGCCTAGTTTCTCCTTTACTTTAAATAGACTTACAGGTTAGTACAAATTAAAATAAATTTTCATATGAGATCCACAAAATAAACAGATGATTCCATAAAGTCCATGTGAATATCAGTCTTGTTAATCTGTATTTGTATTCCATACATGCCACAGTTCAGTAGAGCATAACAAAACACAAACCAAAACCAAAACTAAACCAACAAGCTATCATTAAAATGTATTGAAGTGCTAGTAAGTGGACAAAGTTCATATACTCTAGGTTTTAGTTTGAGTTAAGCCTCTACCAATCAAATAGATTTCGCTAAACTTTCAAAATCTTAGGACCCACCAGTAAAGAAAAAAATGCCTTGTGAATATTCAATTTTCCTACTATATCAGTTGGCTGGTCCAAATAATTTATAGCCATGAAAGCACAAAATCAGGTCAAGAGTAAAGAGAAGATGACTAATTATGTTGGACTATTAGGAAAGATAAGAAATGAGGATGTTTGATTTTGGAGAGAATAAACCATATGGAGAAACTCAGAAGGTGGAATCTACGACACTGCTCTCAGGATGAATAAAGTCATTTTCCATGCACAATATAAATGGACAAAAGGACAGGAATGGCAGAAAACCATGTGCTGAGCTGATGTATTTTGCAAAATGGCAATAATCACATCCTCTCTCAGGTGTGTTGCCAGAGACAGAAGGAGTCAGTGCACTGGTATTAGCCATCGCAAAGACTAAGGATAAGGGGACAATGGGTTAATATTGCTTCAGAAGGTGAAAGGAAACCAAAAGGCATGGCCCAAGTAGGAAGCACGGTGAGGAGTTAAGATACCAAAGGCATCACTGAAGTGTCTGACTGAGGTGGCCATCATTCCCAGGGCAATGTGGTAAGGAACTACAAAAGATACAAAATAAATAAATAAAGGATAACCATATCTTGGTTACATAAAGTTATCACCTAACAAGCAAGCACATGGTTACTGATCTCCAGAAAATACTATTATAAGGCAGAATGTCTGATGTGTTGAACACAATGAACAGACAAATCACTGTACTCTTTTTCTTTTTTTAATACCAAACACTTATGGTCCTGATCCAGAAAACCAAGTATCTATTTTATTTTTATTTGGATGAAGAATATGTACAGGAAAAAGGAGAATTTTCTTATAGTCTACCCCAGGTTAAGTCATTCATTAAATGTTCATCACTCACCACAATGCTCCAACTGCTGTTCTAGGAAGTGAAGCTATAACAAGGTCAACACCATATCTGTCCTCATTGACCTCACAGCCTGTTGAGGAAGGCAGACAAGCCCAGAGCAACTCTGTAACAGTGGGAAATGTCAGAGGAGTGTGCTTCGAAAATGTGCAAGAAAGGGACCTGCCATTGTGGTGCAGTGGGTTAAGCTGCCACCTGCAATGTTGCCATCCCAGATGGGCACTGGTTTGTGCCCTAGCTACTTGTCTTCCAATCCAGCTCCCTGCTAATGGCCTGGGAAAGGCAGCAGAAGATGGTCTGAGTGCTTGAGCCCCTGCCACCCACAACCCAGAATAAGCTCCTGGCTTCTGGCTTCAGCCTGGCTCAGCCATAGCCATCTTGGCCAATTGAGGAGCAGACGAGTGGATGGGAGATTCTCTCTCTCTCTCTCTCTCTCTCTCTCTAACTTTGCCTTTAAAAATAAATAAACCTTAAGAAAAAAAAATGTGCAAGAGAAAATGTGCTTGGCCTAAGTAAGGAGACTTTCTGAAGCAAGCAACACTGAAGCTGGGACCAAGCAGGCAGAAGTCATTCATGAGAGGAGTGTGGGGAGGATTCCAAGCTGAAGAGTCAGGTGCCTCGAGGCCAAGAGAAAAGAAAACTGAGTTTCATTTTCACGAAATTGAATAAGACATTTCCTATAACTACAGACAATGGTGAAGTACATAATTGGCTATAAACTGGCATATTGTTCTTTATTAACCCTGCTTTTATGTATTCAAAGTCAGTTCAATTTTGCTACTCTGAATATCTCTCAGTGTAGAATAAATGCTACTCCCGAATGCCTGAAATCTGCTGTTTTTAGGAGAATGGAGAAATTTGTGTTTTCTGTTTCTCCAAATACACCCTCAAGAGTATTATAATTATAAAGCTTCTCAGACTACAAAACAACAAAGATATATCAATACAACAAAGTAATTTCTTTCTGTCATGAGGGAGTGAAAACACTCTCTGGTTAAAAACAACACTGAATCTATTAGGTTAAAACGAATACCAAAAGAAAAAAAAAATAAAATAACACTATCCATTGGGCCATACACTCTCTAACCTTTCATTATGCATTGAGATAAGAGGAAAACTAAATGAAAATATTTATTTTCTTGTCATAAAAACTAAATTGGCAGCTATTAGAAGACAGAATTCACTTCTTATTACTACACAATAATGGTAGTGTAATGATCAAGTAACAAGGCTTCAAAATCCTCAAATTAATAGATTTTCTCATACACTCAGACAGATCCTTCATGAATAACATATTGATTAGAAGTGTCGCACTATTTTTTAAAAAATATTTATTTATTTTGAAAGCAGAATGACAGAGAGAGAGGGAGAGACACAGGGAGAGACTGATGTTGATTGCACAATCAGTGGCTTAACCCACCGCACTACAATGCCAATCTCTAAAACATTACTTTTACTTTTGCCAACATTGCAAGTGGCAGCCTAACCAGCTGTGCCACAATATCAGCCCAGGTGCACTATTTCTTTAATCAACAAATACAACGAAGAGCAAAGGAGAACTTAAAACTACATGTTTTTCCATAATATTTTTTAGTAATGGTTGCCGAGATTAAAATAAAAAAAAAAAAAACCTGCTATCCACTGCACATAGACAAAAAGTTCATTTCACCAAATGAGAAAATACAACCTAACCATGTACAAATGTGGTAGGTTGTTAGCTAAGATGACAAAGAAATCCCTCTCATCTCATGTGTCCCTTTGCAATGTGACTTTGCCACTTCTCCCATCGAGATGTGGAGTCTATTTCACCTCCCCTTGAATTTGGGCTGGCCCTTTCCCTATAACTAGCTATGACTAAGAAGAAGTGTGTGACTTCTGAGGCTGAACCCTAAGAGGGCTTGGCACTCTGTTTGCTCCACTGTGGTAAAATCCAGCTAGACTGCTGATTGAAGAAACTACACGAGGACAGACGCTCTGCCCACAGCCAGACTCCAAAGTCAGAGACATGTGAAGATCCTGAATGAGCCCAAACAAGACCAGCAAAAAAAGTCACTCAGATAACTACCAAAATCATGAGAAATAATGCACTTTTGGGTTTTTTAGTCACCAAATTTTGGATGATTTGTTACATCTCTCTCTCTCTCTCTCTCTCTCTCTCTCTCTCTCTCCCCCTTCTCTCTTTCCACACATACATATGTATGTGTATATAAAATAACATTTAAGGGCTGGTGCTGTGGTTAATCATCAACCTGTGGCACCGGCATCCCATATGGGCGCTGGTTATAGTACCCGGTGCTCTGCTTCCATTCCAGCTCTTTTCTATGGCCCGGGAAGGCAGTAGAAGATGGCCCAGATGCCATTTTCTACTGTCAGATGCCCCTGAACCCACGTAGGAGACATGGAAGAAGCTCCTGGCTCCTGGTTTCGAATCGGCTCAGCTCCAGCCATTGCAGCCATTAGGGGAGTGAACCAGCAGATGGAAGACTTTCTTCTCTGTCTCTCCTTCTCACGGTCTGTAACACTCTCTCTCAAATAAATAAATAAAACCTTTAAAAAATATAACATTTACAAATGTACAAAAGATGAGCTAGTGGTCTCGTAAAGAAATTCCCGTCATAATATAAAGTCATCTAAACATCTATAGTATTTTGCAGTACTTTTTGCAACTTCGTTTTGCCCTAGGGATAGCCTTATCTGATAGATATGATCCAGACTAACAGAAAAAGCAACATAGGGTGATCAGTTTACTTGTAATAAGCATACTCACAAAACTGAGCCTCCATATTGGTCTATCAGTTTCTTTAGGCAGTCTATGTAACCCATCTTTGTCTCTTAGTACATACATGATCACTAGTATATAGGAGGCTATTTTTTTTTAAGAATTCGGTGGATGGATGGATGGATGGATGGATGGATAGAAAGTCAGAGAAATGAACCGGCCCCTTCTCTTGCTTTTTTCAATATTTAAGAAAGCTCTGACATGCGAACAGCCCACCCTCATGCCCAGGATCTCCAAAGTCTTTCTTGCACATGTTAGTGGATTCAGCGATTTTTCACTTGAATTAGCACTTAGCTAATTAGTACTTAGCTAATTTTTTCCAATTTTTAAAATTTATATAAGGTGAATAAATTTCACATATTTCATATATACAGATTTAGGAGCATATTGATGCTTCCCACCCTATCCTCCCTAATATCAAACACTTGAGGTACTAAGGTACCTGGAACTAGACACAATATTGTCTATCTAAAACTGGCTTCTGTAACTTGAACTCTGCATCCATATACAGTAAAGTGATTTCAAGAGCTTACCTGAGGGGCAAGTTAATCTGAGGCCAGTGATGCGGCTTATCATAGGGGTGCTGATTTGAGTGCCAGATGATCCAGTTTCAATCCAATCCTACTGCACCTGGGAAAGAAGCAGAAGATGGCCCAAGTACTTGGGCTCCTGCAGCCACAGGGGAGACCCTGATGAAGCTTAACCTGACTCAGCCTTGGCCACTGTGGTCTTTTGGGGAGTGAACTAGCAGCTCTCTCTCTCTCTCTCTCTCTCTCTTTCTCTGCTTCTTCTCTCTGTGTAACTTTGCCTTTCACAGAAATAAATAACATCTTTTTATTTTCATTTATTTATTTATTACTTATTTAAAAGTTAGAGTTACAGAGAGAGAGAGGCAGAGACAGAGAAAGATCTTCTATTCTCTGGTTCACTCCCCAATGGCTGCAATGGCCAGGGTGTGCCAGGCTGAAGCCTGGAGCCAGGAGCTTCTTCCAGGTCTCTCACACAGATACAGGGGCCCTTGCACTGGAGTTATTCTCCACTGCTTTCCCAGGTGCTTTAGTAGGGATCTAGATTGGAAATGGAGTGGCCTGGTTTCAAATCAGCACCCACGTGGGGCGCTGGTGCTGCAAATAGCAGCTTTATGGGCTATGCCACAAAGGTGATCCCAATAAATACACTTTTTTAAAAAAGTATGTCTGAAACAAGATGTCATCTTCAATGAAAGACATAAAATAATTTCTAGTTTGTATTGGAGAAAATTGGATTGCTTTTTAGTGAAATCTGCTGTAAAAAGCAAAATGTTTTGGTTACATTTTTTAAGATTTACTTGAAAGACAGTGTGACTGAGAGGAATGGAGGGAGGTCATGGGAGCAACAGAAAGAAATATATCTTCCATTCCTTAGTTCACTTCCCAAATGTTTGCAACACCCAGGGTTGGGACAGGCTGAAGCCAGGGGCCAGGAAATGCACCCTAGCTTCTCAGAAGGGTGGCAGGGGCCCAAGCACATGGGCCATCATCCATTGCCTTTGTAGTCACATTAGAAAGGAGCTAGATTAGAAGCAGAGTAGCTGGGATTTGAACTGACACTCTGATACAGTATGTCAGCATAGCAAGTGGCAAATTAACCAACTATGCCTCAACACTGGGCCCCTATATTGGTTAAGCTTAAAATCAGTAAAATTCCATAGTGAAAATGTGCTTAAATTCCTAGTGATCTATTTCAATTGAAGGAATAAATGGACTCATTAATCATGGTTAGTTTTAGAAATTTTTCTCAAGTTGTGTCATTGATTTTGGTTAATTTGGATAGAATTAAAGAACTCAAATTATTTTTACTTAAATTCTATCTGTAATGCATTTATTTTGGTCAATTTTAAAAGACTGTAACCCCCTCCAGTACCATAGTTAAAGCATAAATATCCCAATGAATTGATGCCAAATGCAGCTTCTTATATTTTATATTACTTTCCACAGCATTATTAAATTATGAATTTTATGAACCATTACATTCTAATCAACATTTTAAAAATTCATATTTTTAGCCTACTTTTATAGTTAATTGATAGAAATCCTTAGAAAGAACTTTATAGGGCTCCCAAGAAGATGGACATGATTTTATAAATTCTATTTCTGGGGAAAAAAAGCTTTCAATTTGAATATATATATAATTTAGCAATAGTATTTAATTAGAATATTACACATCTACTACATGCTGCCTCAATACAAATTCATTTTCACCGACTGGTATCTCAGTAGATCTAAAATCAAACCACAAGCTGTTCTTCCACTTGTTCCATTTGCGCTAGATTCAACACAATGCAGCAGATGTCCTTGGCTCAGAAGCACCCTTAACCAGCCACTTTCCCTGGCCCCTGATGTCCTTCTCGATCTTCCCTCATTGTCACCACTGCTGTTTGAAACAACATAGTCTAGGCTTGCATCACCCTGAGGCTGAGCGCCTGCAACTCCAGTCTCTCACATGTCAATCACACTGTATGTGATCATCACGTCGTGTGATCCTAATGGGCTAATTTAAATCAAAAGCAATACTTTCACCAGCAGCCACTCAAATAATTTCAAGTGTTCTTGTTGCTTTCTCTTGTCTGTCTAAATTGAAGGAGAGGGGATTGAGGGAGGTTAACTTCTTAGAATTACATGTTTAAAATATATGAAATCTGTTCCCTTTATATTAATAAAAATTAAAAAGAAAAAATAAATTATATGGAAATTTTGAAGTTCTACTTAATGATTCACCTGGTTTTCCAAACTTACTTCTAGTTAGTCTCCAACAGGAAGTCACCTGTCTCCCTTCAGTTAGCCCAATCACCTTGCCAAATTCTATGTCAGCCCTGCAGATAGAAAAGAATATTTTTTTACTATCAATAGTACAGGCATTAGAGATGGGCATTTGGTGCAGTGGTGATGATGCCTCTTGGAACATCCACCTCCTTTATCAGAGTGTCTGAGTTCAAGTCCCTGCTACCCTTCCCATTCAGCTTCCTGATAAGGCATACCCCGGAAGGCATCAGATGGTGCTTCAAGCAATTGTGTTCCCTGCCTCCCTTGTGGAAGACCCAGATTTGGTACTTCACTCCAGGATTTGGCCTGGCCCAGCCCCATCTGTTGTGGCAATTTGGGAGTGAACTAGTGGATGGAATATTTCTCTCTTTCTCTCTCTCAAATTAAAAATAAATAACTTTTAAAAATACTAACAGTATAGCTGTGGCTGGCGCTGTGGCATAGTAGGCTAAGCTTACACTTGTGTTGTCAGTATCCCATATGGGCGCCAGTTCATGTCCCAGCTGCTCCTCTTCCGATATAGCTTTCTGCTGTGGCCTGGGAAAGCAGTAGAAGATGGCCCAAGTACTTGGGCCCCTGCACCCATGTTAGAGACCTGGAAGAAGTTCCTGGCTCCTGGCTCCTGGATTCAGATTGGCTCAGCTCTGGCCATTGTGGCCATTTGGGAAGTGAACCAGTGGTTGGGAGACTTTTCTGTCTGTAACTAACTTTCAAATAAATAAAAATCTTTAAAAACAAGCAAACAAAAAAGAATAGTAGCTAATAAATATCAAATGCTGACTACTTATCAGTTACTATTCTAAGCTAGTTATGTCTTAATTAACTAGTTTTTTTATTACAACTTTATAAGAGACACCTCATTATCAACATTTTAAAGATAACAAATCTGAAGAACAAAGAAATCACATGGCTTACTCAAAGTTACATAGCTAGTTAGTAATGGCAGGAACAGAGAGCCAGATGTCCTGTTTGCATCCGGATTTTACCACTGTAAAACATTCCTCTTGGAATTAAACCAGTGCTCTCTTCCATTTGAATAACCCCATCTACATAGCCTTCATGGGGCTCTAATCTTGAAAATGAAACCTAGCCTACACCTAGCTTCTTCTACAGCAGAGAGAGGTAGCTGCCTGCCAATAAAGGCCAGAAATGAGGCTGCCCTGCGGAGAGGGAGAGGGAAGTGAGTCACTGATTCAGCCAGGATGATGCATAGGAAGAGAAACAGAGTGGAGGAATGCACATGTGGGCTGGATTCTGCATCCAGGCTGATATTCTTTTGAGAGTGAGCTGAAAGAAAATTTGGCAGTTGGCTTGGCACTGCCTGCCTCCAGAATTCCTGATGTGCACCAACTTGAAGGGGAGTCCTTGTCAAGAAGCAGCCCTAGGTTGTGGAGTAACAAAGGGGAGTATAAGTGAGTGAGAGAGAAGAATTGAGAAGTTTCTCCCCAAACCCTCAGGAAACATGGAAGAGACTGACACTTGCCTTGGAGAGGTAGCGGAAGGTGAGTTAAAGGGAGCACAGCCCACCACTCAGAGATAGTCTAACAGCATGAGCCAAGGAGGAAGACAGGGGCTCTGGGGAGCCACTTAATGCTTTTTTTAGAATTTCCATTCTAAAGAAACCACTCAGACCAAGGATGTAAAAACATTTTAGGTGTGTGTGGCATCAAATACCTCCTCTATCTCTATCTGGAAATCAGTCATTTTGTATTTTTAAATAAAATGATATAGCTTAAGCCATTAGAAAATATGTATTAAGAACAGGAAATTGTATTATATGCATACTTTTATCAATAAATAAATTTCATTTATGTAAAGTGAGCTTTATGAGCTGGGACAGTGGTAAACCTTACTGTCTTAATGTCTCATAAAACATGCTCACATGTCTGGTTTCCACCAATAATGTAACATATTATTTCTGAAAATTAAAGTAAGGCATTGGGTTAAATAAATCAGCTCACTCTGCAGGTGCTAATGGTGAGGCTCATGTTGTGTGTCTATCCACATCTGACTGACCCTCAGAGTACTGGGACAACTAAGTGTTATGTGCATTAAACAATCCACACAAAGTAAACACACTCCACATTATCACTCATACGATAACTAAAAAACAGTGTTTCAAAAATTGGTATTAATTCAACTCCACCACCAGTCTTTTTTTTTTTTTTTTTGACAGGCAGAGTTAGACAGTGTGAGAGAGAGACAGACAGGTCTTCCTTTTTCTGTTGGTTCACCCCCAAAATGGACGCTATGGCTGGCACGCTGCACTGATCCGAAGCCAGGAGCCAGGTGCTTCCTCCTGGTCTCCCATGCAGGTGCAGGGCCCAAGGACATACTTTTTTTTACAAATTATTTGATAAGCAGTGCAACTGACATATAAGAGTTGACATAAGAAGTGCAACTGAATCTTAAGTTCATTTGGAAATATCCATTGGTGAAAATAATTTTTAAACAGGAAAAGAATATAGACTCAATATATGGTGGAATTTATCACAAAATTAAAATAAGTTTGGATTATTAATACTACAATGTTCATGAATTACTCAATGAAACATTATAACTAGAATTTTGAAGCAGCAGATAAGGGAAGATTGTTTAACAAAGTTTTTTAAAACATTTAATTAGCTCTTTAGGAGAAAATTTACATTGTCACATCATATGGGAAATAAATTCTTGATTTATTAAATAAAAAAGTCATCTATAAAAATATAAGTATATATTTATCTGATTTCCAGATGTACTATAAAGTAATATTTTTACAAGAACATCATGGCTGCCACCGCGGATCACTAGGCTAATCCTCTGACTTGCGGCGCCGGCACACCGGGTTCTAGTCCCGGTCGGGGTGCCAGATTCTGTCCCGGTTGCCCCTCTTCCAGGCCAGCTCTCTGCTGTGGCCAGGGAGTGCAGTGGAGGATGGCCCAAGTGCTTGGGCCCTGCACCCCATGGGAGACCAGGAGAAGCACCTGGCTCCTGCCATCGGATCAGCGCGGTGCGCAGGCCGCAGCGGCCATTGGAGGGTGAACCAACGGCAAAAGGAAGACCTTTCTCTCCGTCTCTCTCTCTCACTGTCCACTCTGCCTGTCAAAGAAGAACAAATAGATAAAAATAAGGAGAGACATCATGAACATCATGCCAGGGCTGGCACCGTGGCGCTCTAGGTTAATCTTCTGTCTGTGGCACCGGCATCCTGTATGGCACCAGGTTCTAGTCCCGATTGCGCCTCTTCCAGTCCAGCTCTCTGTTGTGGCCGGGGAAAGTAGTGGAGGATGGCCCAAGTGCTTGGGCTCCTGCACCCACATGGGAGACCAGGAAGAGGCACCTGGCTCCTGGCTTCGGATCAGCATAACTCCAGCCATTGCGGCCATTTTGGGGGGAGGGGTGAACCATGGATGGAAGACCTTTCTCTCTGTCTCTCTCTCTCTCATGTCTGTAACTCTACCTGTAAAAAAAAAAAAAAAAAACAAAAACAAACAAACAAACAAACAAAAAAAACAATGGGGCCAGCATTGAGGCATAGCAGGTAACGCCATTGCTTGTGTGCCAACATCCCATATGGGCACTGGTTTGAGTCCTGGCTGCTCCACTTCCAATTCAGCTTCCTGCTATTGTGCCTGGGAAAGCAGTGGAAGATGGCCCAAGTTCTTGGGTCCCTGCATCCACGTGGGAGACCTAGATGAAACTCCTGCTCCTGGCTTCACCCAGCCCAGACCATTACAGCCATCTGGGAAGTGAACCAGTGGATGGATGATCTTTTTCCCCTGTAACTCTGACTTTCAAATAAGTAAATAAATATTTTAAAACAAAGAACATCAACAAAGGAAGATTAATTAATCTTACAACAAACATTTTGCTAAGTTCTGTAAGTTAATATATAATAAAGAAATTGACAGGATGAACAAAAAATAGTCAAGTAAAACATTAAAAAAGGCTGGCCACTTTAACACTTAAAATACTATTTTTACCCCTAAGCTTAAGAGGATCTGGGGTCTTATTGCAAGTTTTTAAATTGTTCCCTTAGAAGTAAGTCCATAGGAATGTATGCAGAACTATACAGCCTTACAATTACAAACTTCATACACTTTATAATTACAACTTTAGGAACATGCTGATTCTTCCCACCATGCTTGCCCTCCCACCCACACTCCCACCCTTCTTCCTCTGCCCTCTTTTATTCCCACTCTTATTTTTAACTAGAATCTATTTTCAATTAACTTTGTACACTAATGGTCAACTCCATGTTAAGTAAAGAGTTCAACAAATAGTAAAAAATAGCATTTTAAGTGTTAAAGCAATCAGATGGATAGGATTAAGTGTTAAAAACGATCATATTGAGGCCGGCGCCGCAGCTCACTAGGCTAATCCTCTGACTTGAGGCACCGGCACACCGGGTTCTAGTCCCGGTCAGGGCGCCGGATTCTGTCCCAGTTGACCCTCTTCCAGGCCAGCTCTCTGCTGTGGCCAGGGAGTGCAGTGGAGGATGGCCCAAGTACTTGGGCCCTGCACCCCATGGGAGACCAGGATAAGTACCTGGCTCCTATCATCGGATCAGCGCAGTGCGCAGGCCATTGGAGGGTGAACCAACGGCAAAAGGAAGACCTTTCTCTCTGTCTCTCTCTCTCACTGTCCACTCTGCCTGTCAAAAAAAAAAAAGATCATATTGATAGAATTAATTGCTAAAGTGATCATATAAATAGGATTAAGTGTTTGGTAATAATAATAGATAAAATTAAAAAGGAGCAAATTATCTAACATGGGAAGCACTCCATACAGCAGACTCATAGAATGGCAATTGCTTTAAGTAGCATTCTGACCTTAGAATCAGCCCTTAAGACATTCTGGTCTGGCTGAAAAGCCCACAAGAGTATTTCAGGCATGGCAAGCCAAGAAACAGCGGCAAAAAATTTCTTAAAGAGGGACCTCTATGGGTGAGACACCTGTGGAAAGAAGCGGTCATCAAAGAAGGATATGCTTTTCTCTGATGAAAAGAGAATTTCTACTTTGCTTATGGCCTTGTCTAAATATTGAAAGAGTTTTTATATTCAAAAGG